TGGCCGCGCAAATTCGGTCTCCGCTACTGGGATCGTTTTCTGCCAACTATAGCACCGTACTGGTCTTTAGTTGAACACCAACTCTTTGACTCAACGACAGTGTTTCAATTCGAGGGAACTGTTATTGATGAAATGATGAACAACGGAAACAGAAGTTTAGCTCATTCAGGGTAAGTACTTCAAACATACGGGAAGCTTGGGTAGCGTGAGTGAATGAGTTCGCTCGCTACCTTCCTTCTTACCATTGCGACCTGGCATCAATAGCGAAATTGGAGGTCGTATGCGAGTTGAGCTGCTTGTTCTTAGTTTCATCCGGGACATCGAAAAATAACCTTCCGCGCAAAAAAAAAAAAAACTTCTACATTTTAATAGACCCCTTCCTTGAGACACCAAAAGATTTACTAGAGATCCCGGTCAGTTCTAGTCTCTACACGGGCGACGCTCATGCAAATTGTACTTTGATATTCAGAAAGAGATACAGCATGCGTATTGATCCTAAGAGACAGTCCAAGGTATATTATCAACTGTACAGCAGATGGAATTACACCAACGCTGCTGCAGCTATGTTGAACAAGTCTTCTGATGACGTCAGAAAGTACACCAAAAACAGCTTGTACAACGATTTTAGAGCTAGCTTTGTCGCTGTGGTAACGTGGGTCAATGTTTATCCTGAACGCTTACGAAACTTTCCGTACTTCGGATTGGTAAGTTCTTACTTCTGAATTTNTGTTATTGTGGGCTGTCATTGTAACGAAATTCATAACTCAAAATTTCTTGTCATTTTTCTTTCAGCATGGTTCTGGGGTTATTCTCACATTTTCACAATGGACAACAAGAACTACACTTTCAACGGACTCGGCGAATACATTATGGCTGATGTTCAGAACGGGTTTTTCCAGCTGCAAGCCAGAACTGCAAAAGCATTAGGAGGCACAACAACGGTCTATTCTGCAGCTGTTGCTCAAGAGCAGAGTACAAGTAAAATTGAAGCTCGATTGAAGAGTTCAGGAGGTAAAAGACTATGGTTGTATCAAAGGGGCCCAGAATATTTAGCCCATATCCGAAGGCCTTTTTCCGCGAAGATATCTGAGTGGATCCTACAACCTCTTTATAATTTATCATTTATTTATGCAAAACCTGATCGCTTTGAAACTAGAGAAAAACGTTTGCGCATGCCTGCATTTCAGCACGTTTTCTAAGAATTTGAAGAGTTTGAGTGAGAAAATAAATATTTGTTTTCTCAAAGCATACAAAACATTTCACGGATATACATTTGCCAGACCACGATACTGTATTAACAAACAAAATATGAAAGAGTTAGCCTTAAGTTTCAAGCATAATCACTAAGTTTTAGCATTTTATGAAGTCCAATTTATCAGGCATGTTTGAAAGTCAAATTTACATATGATTTGACTAATTTGCATACGGATTCAGAGCATGCGCAGATTTTATTCACTCCTGTCGGTCGCTTTAGCATTAGAGGAACACTCCAGCACACATTTTATCATCATCATTATCATCATCATCCTCATTATTATTTTTATACAACACGACACGGATTTGAACTACATGCTTTCATAGTAATGAGAAGTTTGCCTTAATTCTGTACTTTATT